GGCAAGGGTAAAGGGAAGTCCAACTTCTCTTGCAGGGGCTGGGACGTAGAGCCAGCAGAAGGAATAATAGTTTTAGGGCGAGGCCAACGCCAACGGCGTTTCTCGCCTGATGCAGAAAACTGAGCTCGTAATTGGTCACCAAGAATTGTTTCCTGACGGGGGTCATAATAAGTCGCCGACGGGCGGCGTTTAGTGAGAACCATGATAGGTAGAATAGTATGAACCACAAGGTTGCGGACGCCAGGAGGAGGGTCTGTAGTACCCAACTTAGACCAGAATGATATTGGTAGAGGAAGATAATCCTTTGGTGCACGTTGCGGATTACCTATTAGGCCTGCCAGAGTATAAGTCCAAGGAGGAAGTCCAAGAGAAGTAGTACCATTCTTGAGGAAAGTATGCTCGGTATGGGGTATAACTACGGGGACATCGAGGAGAGAATGGAAAAAGGTGACCAGCCATGGGATATTTCAATAAGAAAGGATAGCAATAGCCTTGCAGTTTCGGGCAGCAGAAAAGCGGCGGAAGAAGCGAGAGTACAACGACCATGGAGGATTAACAAGGAAATACATGTTGTCAAGTGGCATGGTTTCAGCCGTCGAGAGATCAGTACCACCATCGCGAGCGCAATAACGAGGCAAATGATGACAGCGAGCACTTGCATACAAGTCAACTGTAGGGACCCCCCATTTGGAAGAGAGAGACTTGAACCAGATAGGGTTCAATAAAAGTTCATCCGTATATGCGGAAGGATGAGGAGAAAGGGTAGCAAAAAACAGCTCAGAGCTGTGACACACGTGAAATTGTCTTTAAGATGGCAAAACTTGGATAGTCCATTGTGATGCGGAGGACGGCAGAGAATACACCATGAATACCTCGGTTGCACGCAGCGATTAAGACTAGCAAATCCTGTAGGGACCCCCCATTTGGAAGAGAGAGACTTGAACCAGATAGGGTTCAATAAAAGTTCATCCGTATATGCGGAAGGATGAGGAGAAAGGGTAGCAAAAAACAGCTCAGAGCTGTGACACACGTGAAATTGTCTTTAAGATGGCAAAACTTGTATAGTCCATTGTGATGCGGAGGACGGCAGAGAATACACCATGAATACCTCGGTTGCACGCAGCGACTAAGACTGGCAAATCGGAGCCCGCTAGTGTAGTGGAGGTTCCCAAACTAGCTGATATTATCCCAGAGAACCGCGTCCCGGGCGGTCGCATGTGCCAAAACAATATATTACAGAAATATACAGAATACAAGCGGACAATCGACACTCAACATATGAGTCATTGCATTCACAACCTTTTTTTTTTTCTCACTAAACAAAGGTTATTAGGAATGTCAACTTCGTCTATTATTCATTAAGATCTTCCATGCCTCGAAGTTGCTGGAGTAGCATCTGGCGCTCTTCTTTGATTTGCACTAATCTGTAAACCAAAATTCAATCCTCAATACATTATCGTCTTATATCATAGAACTCCTCCAGTGAAACAAACTGAAGATCGCGCAATAGACAGTAATTCTAGAATGTGCTCTACAGTGTGTGAGGACGGCTCGCCTTGAATAAACTGATACAATTCAAGCAGATTACAATATCACTACGAGTGCGCCATATTGCTCTCATTAAAAGTAAGCGTGACTACAATGACTATGAAGTGCACTATCCGGTGAACAACAATTGAGCAAAACAACTAGAGGAACGAGACAAATCCGTAACTCACTTGTCCTTGTATTCTTGATCAGCCTGAGTCTTCGAATTTTCAATCGCTAGAAGACGTCTCTCTAATTGCTGTTTTTTGTAAACGCCAGCGAGGAAACCATTCCTGTCACCGCCTCGTCGCCCTGTATTGTATAATTCGACCAATGTATCTGTTGAGTCTTGTGTGGCCAGCAGATGTACAGTACCTGACTACCTGCTGCCAACATAAGTACTTGCAGTACGTTCAAAGAGTGACTCGCTACAAATTCAACACGTAGCCCATTCTGATCTGACAAGTACACTAGAATCAAAACAAGTGCTTACTTTTGTTGCCAAAAATACGACCCTACAGGCTGGCGCTCACAAGCCACACCATTTGATATCTGCGCGAATGTCAACTCAGAGACATATGCGCCTTAGCTGACAGAGTGTGGTCAAGCAGTCTCCAAGTACACACATACGAATACAACCCACACATAGAGTTTTTGAACCGTACCCATATCGCTCTCCAGGCCTGCTCCTGCAGTTGGCAGATAAACTGCAGTATTGAACCGCTTGCACACAATAATTCGCTCCCGGTGATTGCCGGTTTTGTGCGATAGCTGGAATATGCAATAAAATAATGCGAGCTTCTTAATACCTTGTGACGACTGAGACAAAATCGCGACTACTTGCGAAGTATAACAAAAATGAGAAAATACCAACATCGCTCCTTCAGTGCTAGCAAACGGCTTGCTATAAGCGTCCAACTCTTACTAAATCTTTCAACGAGAAGCCATGTCGTAGTCCTAGAGTCGCCGCATGGTTGAGTGCTATAAACCTTAAAGCAAATCGAACTCTGATGACTGAGGCGTCGTACGCACATAAGCCGTTCCCATAAGGCACACAAACACACACAGACCTGTAATCGGCGCTTTGTAGAAAAAATGGACGTCATCGATATCGGTTCCGCTGTGTTGCTGCGTTTCCGATTCCCCAATTGATAAAATTTATTGTAGCCCCAACTATACACATCCAGTCCACCTGCACAGTTTTGAGATCACGATCCGTACTTGATTATATCGAGTGATCCCTTCGTAACGACTCACCCATAGTTGCAAAAACAACCCATAAGGTGAATAGAACAAACCAGACTAGCCACCATAGTATAACGAGGAGGAGCGCATACACTATAAACCACTGTCTACGGCTTTGCACTAGGGTTGTAACTGACCAATGACTCAACCAAATTTGCAATTGTTCAAAAATTTCAGGGTAGACGCAAATCTGAGCACACTATAAGCAATTCCGTATTAATCCAACACACCTGATGGGCTATATCGGGTATCCAAAACGGCCACCGCGTGCCAGTCGCCACACGATACTTTATGGATGGAGACAGCCTGTTAATATATTGAAGATTAGTTAATAATATTCGACAAACCTACCATCCGCAAGGATGTAAGAGCCTTCCTGAAGGAAATGTTGTATGCAAATACGAAACAACTATGCAAAAACGGGTCCATTTTCGCTTGTACATTCTTATATAAAATCTCATAGAGTTATATGCTATGTTTCGAGCCCTTCACACCTTTGTTTTCTTTTCCACTTCGTCGTAATACTGGTTGTCAGATATAGTTTTCACCTTGGCCAGAGCACCAGCAGCAGAA